ATGTTTTTTGTTTCACACCACATTACCTCTGATATGCCTTTCCATTTCTACTCTTAGTTGATCCTGTAAACATTTCAACCTGTGACTTTCAGCTCTGCCCTCTCTGCTGGGCACGCTGCTGTGTGGTGGCGTCAAACATTTCTTCTGAATTGACACAAAACACACAGTGAGATTCATGCACCTAGAAACGCACTACTTGTTGTTACCACTAGGGGAAGGTCATAAAAAAATGTTCTAACCTTTAATCTCTTTGACTCTTCTCTCCTCCTCTCCCATGACTGATTTTTCACCATCTGCAGAAAAATATATTTGTTATATTCCAGTTCTGGTTGACCTGAGGTCTAGATTTGAATGAGAAACATTTGTTTAAATCACAGACACTGGATATGAAACCTAGTCCTAAAATTGGGCGAAAGAAACCATCAACCACCAGGGGGCGACATTTCTGGCGTCAGTTTAAATGGAGAGTCAACTGTAACTCCCGCTTAATTTAACAATGGTACAAAGTTTTCTAATTTGAAATCTTTTCTTTGGTTTAGACCTGAATTTAGGTCCATATTTTCCACACTGACCAAATCAAAACCACATAGTGAAAAAGTCTTAGGTCCAGTCAAACCAAACAAGGTACGTTTGGTAAACCAGCTGAAAATGGTTTCAGTGCCATGAGTCAATAAGTATAATAAGTATAATAATAATAATCAGGTTCATCGTTCGTGTTGCGTTACCTGCAGGTTTTGGTTGAGCTCTGCCAACCTGTGGGTGTGGTCAACATCACTTTCCCCCAGTGACATCATTACCGCCTGGAGATCCATGATCTTCTGGCGGCTCTCTGTCTCTGTTGCTCTGGGACACCAGCGTCCAACTGTAGCTCTAGTTGTCAAACATCGGACTTTCTGGGCCAAAGCTAAGGCAGTCGGAGTCTCCACATCTAAAATACCTGAGGAGAGGGAAGACTAGTTTTCACCTTCGTTGTTCTTCAGACTACAGGACACTGTAATAGGAACCTGGATCGGTTCTTACCTTGTGGGTTAAAACAGTAAATGAGGAATGTTTTGCTGTTTCCTGTCAAAGCTTCGTGGAGCAGGCCAGGCAGGAACCTCTCTGCTGATGGAGCTACGTGTGGGAGTTCTTCCAAAACAGTCACCAGTGGATTCACTCTGAGGAAAAGTCCGACTCACTCTTGTGAAAATGTCAAACTTACAGAGGGTTGATTAAGTAACTGGTGCAGTTTGTTAATGCATTAGCTGTGGCTGCCAACAACAACTACACCTGCTGTTATTTGACCTTTGACCCCACACTATATAATGTCAATTAATTTACATAAATCCCAACCAAATACATAGATGTAATCAACTATGCCACTAAAGGTGTAAATAAACAGAAAACAGTGTAAAAAAACAACACCATAATATTTAACTTTAAATATTCAAACAGTTCCAAATGTTTCTGCTAGAAATTGTGCCTTTTCATAAAGATGTGCATCATGTTTTTTTTTTTTTAGTTAAAAACACTGAAACAAACAACTGACTTCGGTACCAATTCAGAAATAAGTGGAATGGTTTTCAGCGCGCGTGTGTGTGTCTGAGTGTGTGTGTGTGACTGACCCTCTGAGGTCAGTCCTGCTGGCTCTTCCTGCCAAACTGAACAACTGCAGCCTGCTGCGGCACACCTCCTCCTCTTCCTCCTCCTTCTCCTTCTCCTCCCCCGTCTCCCCATGGAGCTTCCACTCCACAGCCACTGAGAAGAGAGAACTACATCTGAGGGAGGTAGAAAGCATGAAAAGATAAACATTCATTCATATGGAAGTAACACAACAGTGCGGTGAAGCTGAAGGGACGTTGTTGTCTGTTCGGTTCCTTTAAACCACCTGCCGTAAACGTCTCTCGCTCTGGTCCTCAGTGTCTTTCTTCCTGTTTCGTACAGATCACAGGCGTCTTCTGCTGTAGCCACACACACCTCACACACACCTTCAATAAGACTGAGGAAAAATATACAGCAACAATTAATATGACTCATGCCTTAGCGGTCCATCTCAATAATGAATCTACTTCCTGTATCCCCCTGTTGATGTTTGGACTCACCGCCCAAGGACTGGGTGTGTGACAGGTTTAAGAGTCTGTCTCTCGGGACTGAGGAGATCTACAGCGCTACCATCTGGATAAAACTGACAGCAGAAGCATAAAACACCAGATTTGTTCCTGCACCATGCTGTATCGAATAGAATTTATGATTTCTGCCGTTTGACACAAGGACAAACCTGGATGAATGACACAGAGATGAACGGCTCTTCCTTCACTCGTGACAACAGGCGGCTGAAGAGATCTGCCAGAAGCTGGGGGAGATTATCAAGAGTAAAACCAGTAATAACAAAAAGACTATCTTTTTTATTTTCAAAGAAGTTTGAGATCACACCTGTTTGATGATGCTGTGGTCTATCAGAATGCACATCTCCTCAGAGCAGACTCCACATACCAGCAGAGATACAATCAAACCTCTGGATACAGAGTCAGTGACAGATGGTAGGAGCTCAGAGTGGAAGCTCTGCAGAGATAAAGACCTTTAGTGTGGATTTATCTGATAAAAAATGAAAAAAAAAAGAAATAAATACTAGGTGAAAACTTTTTATATGTACCTGAACGTTGTCAACATTTACAACTTGGTCAAATGAAAAGGTCTGTGTTTCCTAGGTGCACAAAAAACATTACAGGATTTAGGACATTCATTCTGAGTAAAATGAAAAATCGCCAAAATCACCAGGGTAAAAATAACACAAAACTACTTCCTGTTTTCGCCAAAACTTATGGAAGTCAACAAAATAAAAGCATAACGCGTTTCCATAAATCAATAGGCATTAAATGGACATGCATTGTTTCCTATGGACAACAGCCATAAAACACATCAGCATAAAGTGCGTGTAAAAAGACGTTTTACCCTGTTTTTTGCTGATGTGTAGATCAAAGTGCGTCCATCTTCACTTATAACACAGTCCTTATTTTCTGAGAAAAAGAATGAACACATTTACGGGCAAAAGATAATTTGCTAAAGAGCAAAGCTACAGATGCACAGACGTTGTCTCACTTCTACCTGGTTTTGTAGGAAACACAACTCCTACTTTGACTGGTTCTGTTTCTTCACACGTCACCTAGGGAATAAAAAACAGAGAGGAATTCCTTACCGAAGTCGCCATCACACAATATCACAACCATTAAAATATTTATGTATGGAGCTTACAGATGCGTCCATGTTCACAGCAGCCATGCTGACTGATGTCTTCTGACAGCTACAGGGTCACATGGGTTTTGTTACACATGGGCTGAAATATTAATGAACCAGAATCTACTTTCACTGCTGCATGTGATCAGAGTATAATTTCCAAGACGGGGAAAAAAAAGTCTGATGTTGAGAGAAATGTCTTACCGCACCATCCTCACAGTGTCACTGTGGAGTGTAGCTCTGCACTGACATAAGGCTAACACTTTGTCGCTTTTAATGTCTTACTCAATGAAACAGCATAAAAAATAAAAATATTTAGAAATGTTATCAGAACGTAGTCAGAGTGTAAAGGAAATGGTTTGTAATGTAATTATTAATAGTAATTATTAATGGCAAATTACGTATTTAATATTAAATGTAGTGTTTTTATAGTGGAGTTTCAGGTATGACGTTTTAGAAATGTCTGTATTTGTTTGTTTTTTGTTTAAAAAAAACACCTATAACTTAAAAACAACCCAGTCAGTTTAAAGTCAGTAAATCAAAAACTAAACAGCTAACTTTAGCAAACCATATCTTAACACTTAACACAAATGTGCAGAGTTCAGGTCTTGAACGACCTCTGTGACCTCTAGGGGTATACGCATGTACTGCAGGAGGTTGCAAAACATTAGGCCAGACATTTTTTATAAAGTACATTAAAATAAAACTATGATTTATGAACTATGTGTGTCATTTAAATAACAGTTTTGTTTTAATAAAAAAACAGTACGTTTGTGAAACTTTGTATATAATGTGCCACACGATGTCATGATATTTTTACAACAATACTTCACTGCTATGCTTTCCAGCAGAGTGATTCAGGAAGTGTAGAAGAACCTGTCACCATATTTCAGCTACACGCCGGCTGGTGGAGGCCAACAACAGCGGGGCAGTTATTCTCATTGAGTCATTAGTTATACCTCATAAACTCTTGATAAAAAAAGGGGTCTTGTTAGAAAGTGGTCTAAAGGTGAACATTAACAGACGTAAATCAGGAGTGGCAGTAACCCACAGTCTTCAGGGTCTATTTTTAGGAACGTTAATGCTCTTTCATCAGGGTTTTATCAGGGATCCCGGCTGCATGGAGAGCAGCTCCCTGCTTGAATGTGTCTATTCTGTCTCATTTATCAGGCTGGTCAGCTGGTGGCTGTCCACTCCACCTGGAGATGAGCCAGGAGTGGAGAGGCTTTAGGTGCATGGATATTACAACGGCTTCAGGGGAAGAATAATGAGGAGCTGCTACTGGGTTAGGAACACACACAAATTGCAGAAAGGAAATGACGAGCAGTCGCAAAAAAATAAAATAACATAAAATAAAGAAAAAAGCCATGTATAGTTTATTATAGAATAAACCAAGACTTTTCAGTCCACACATAAATGTCAATATGTTAAATGTTTCTTTTTGTTATCTCTCACAGATCATGTAGATCCACAGGAGTACAGTACACAGGCGACAAAGAGAAGAGCTTAATACCAAATACTGGATGGAAAAAATCATTAAATTGTTGATCAAAGTATAACAATTGTCCTCATCATGATGTAGTTTACCATCTGGACTCAAATTCCACACATAGAGAAAACACTACTGTTCAATTAAAAAAAAACCCCATATCATCCATAATAATGGATGAGTGTAGGGACACAGAACACAGAGTTACTTACTGATTGGAACAAGAGGTGGAGCACAGGTGGAACCCATCAGGTAATCACAGGAGAGAGACCAACTGAGAAGAACAGGTGGAGAGGCTGATTGACAGGACTGGAGGACTGGAGGGTGGAGGACTGGAGGGTGGAGGGCTGGAGGACTGGAGGACTGGAGGGTGGAGCACACGACTGTAGGGGGGTTCGTAAAATTATTCAACTGAAGACGTAGGTGTGAAATATTCAAATTTGTTTCATCAAAGTGGCATAAACATCATCACCAGATGGTTGGAGTTGTACTGTTGAAGAAAACATGGTATTGCACCACTTGACCAGCAGGTGGACCAGTTAATCTGATGGTGTTTTTTTCTAACATACTGGGGTTTATATATTTATATATATTAATTTTCAATATTTCAGTGTTCCTTTTTTTTAATGCATCATTTCTCTAGATATTACGGTACACAGTCTGATCTACCTAAACACTGGAAAAGACTTTATTTTTTAGGCTTTTCTGCAGTGTGTTTGTGACCTGACCTCAGTGGTTAGCATCACAGGTTTATATATTTATATCATATATATACATATATATTTACATATATATATAACTCTTAAGTTTTTTGGAATCTGAATATAAAGTGTTCTTCAAAGTGTGAAGACTGACACACGACCTCTGAAGCATCTCCACTTGGTTTAATCATCTTTTATTTTTATTCAGCTGTTTAGTCTAATGATTAAACAATGGCATGATTTAAACCTGAAGCTGAAGTAGGAAAATAATAATAAAAAAATTACTTCACTCATTAAAACACATAAGAATAATAGCAAAAATATCATTGTTATATAGGCACATTTGTAAAAGGGTAAATAAGCTGATGTCACCCATTAAATACTTGAACATGCAAATATCTTTGGTTTAACTTCAATGCACTTGATTTGTGGGGTTTACTATAGTGAAAGCTACTAAAATAATGATAATGAAAAATAAACAGTGCTATGTCTTAGAATAACCTCCGTTTTACTGAGAACACTTTCATTAAAATTTAATTAAATACTTTGAGTGAACATCCTGTGGATTGTTCAGACCAGAATCACAGTTTTCTCTCAGACACCTGGGTGAAATTTAAAACGCTTCTATATTTAGATACGTGTCTCAACCGTTTGGGTTTAATGTAAAAACATAAAGTCAAATACTTCAACTATGATTAACTTTATATTGTAGATAATGTCCCAGGAAGTATATGCATGTAAATAGTAAGTGGTTGCAATTTAAGTCTATATAAGGAAATTACTGTCAACACGCCTCACCAGGTTTTTAATTGGATTTAAAACAACCAGCAGAAAAAAAAGATGAAGAGATCAAACGACAGCGAGAAATGCAGAGAAGCTCTACATCATATGCGTAACATCACTGATGAGTCGTCTTCTTGTCTGTCACTGCTTGAAGAAACACATCAGTTGTCGTTTTTATTTGCTGCGTGAAGAAATAAGAAAACACAACAGATGATGCGGTGCAGCATCCAAACACGAGCACGATCTCAAAGATGAAACAAATGTGCTTTAATCTTTCAGACTCTCACCCTCCATGCTGATGGTCTTCTGCATCAAGGGGGGAGCAAACATCCTGCGGCTCAGAGCTGGAGAGAGAGAAGTTTTAATTTCTTTCCTTTGTGTCACATAAGAAAGGGAATCTTTGAACTAGCAACTCTTCAATCACTGACCTCTTCCTCCACGGCAGTCAGGGATTCCTCTGATGCTGGTGCCCTCAATGGGGGTGCCCTCCTTATCCACACACCAGCAGAAGCCGGTGGCTCGCCAGCACTGCGTGGGTATGTACTGGCCCTGTGAATCACACTGAGGCTTGAAGGAACCAATCTTTCCAGCACCAGATTCTGCCTCCTTCTGGCACTTGGTCTTCACTGCAACAGCTGGAAAGAGCAAAGAAAACTAAATGAACCTGCATGGTTTGAAATACTGTTGACTGATCTGGCTGCAGCCAGTCCCTGTAATAATTTCTGTAGTAAAAGTAATAAGGCCAAGTGCATTTTGACAGATCCCCTCCCATAATGCATTTGGAATTTTTCTGTTATTTAACACTTTTTCAACACGTTTTTTCATGACGATTTAGTTTTTCTTGGATCTCCTGCTGACTTCCTGTTCACCACAGGAAGTCAGACATTCTAGGTTATCTGCATTAAGGCAATAAACCCAGAGTAGTACCGTCACTCAAGCAAAAAAAAAAAAAATCTAGGAGGACTATAGAGTCTATATATATATATATATAGTATATAGTCTTATTATGCTACAAATATTTGAGTATAAAAAATAACGATGAACATACACAATTAAGCAACAAAATGTACGTTTATATCAGTAACTTTATCAGTTTTTCACCAGTTGCACCAAAACAATACGTTTATCTCTACTGTGACGTTGAGAAAAGAAGTTCAGAGTTACTTGGCTCAGGTGTGGGGACTTCAGGCTTCTGCTGGGCCAACTGGAAGATGAGCCAGTAACGCATCCAGGACTCAAAGCTCTGCAGAGTGAACAGGATTAAATGAATCAACCTGAATCACTTCCACCTTCATTTCATTAACTCCTGTAGGAGCAGCTGCGAGGCGTCACCTTCCAATGGCTCTCGTTCATGTCCTGCTTCAGACTCTGCAGGTTCCCCAGGAAGGTGTCATTGAAGTGAGGCTGCTGGAAGTCCTGCACCAAACAAAAGCAGAGTTCTAAAACCACCAAGGTGGCGTGAGGAGAAAAGTGAGAACCGCAGCGGCGGTGCAACGTACCTCCAGGAAATCTCTCAGCTGCTTCTCCACACTGGCCACAGTAGTCTCCTGGAGTCTCTGTGGGGAGGAAACGGAGGAGCAACTTTAGCCTCTTATTCAGGTCTCTGTTGTTGATGTTATTAAGATGTCAAAGTAAATAACTTGATTGATATTTTTAATTTAATTAACAACCATTCAGTCAAATAATAATCTGCCAGTGGGCTGTGAAACACTCACTGTGTCGGGTGAGACGGTGCTTGAAGATTCAGTTTGGGTAAAATCCATCATCAGAGGGAGGCTGCCAATGGGCACCCTCATTGGGTAATTAGCTAAAGAGCAAGGAAAAAAAGGAGAAAAAAAATTCAATCTGACAATTTTGGGATTCTGAGATTTTCAATCAGAATATGGTAAACACATTTTTAATTTTAGTTGTGATTTTTTTTTCATGAAAATGACAAAAAAAATCTAAAATCTAAAATAAATCCATGTGATTTCTACTTATATAATAATAATGATCCCACTCAGTCTGTAACTTATGTCAAGGGAAAAAATCAATTTAACATTTAAATTAAAGACCTTTCAAGGGGGAACTTTTGAACAATGGTAATAAAGACGGTGTCCTGATATCATCAACCTAAACCAAGCAAATAGCTGACTTCTCCTTTGCTTGAAATACCACCAAAACTTTCACTTCTCTGTTAGGCTTTCAGATCAATTTTCTTAAGTAAATGCTAACTTCCTCGTTAAACTTCATACTGCCTTTGCCCCCCCCTCCTCCTCCTTCTCCCCTCTCTCCTCTTCCCCTCCCACTTATCCTAAAAAACAATAATGCGTCATCGTTTATGAACTCTGTGCAGCCTCTTACGCTGGGGCGAGCGGGTCAGCTGTTTGGACATTTTTTCTGAGTTCTTCTTGAGATTGGAAATTTCCTGCTTTTGGTTGAAAACCATGTAGGCAGTAAAGACCTGACTGGCCAAAAGGAGACATGCCAGCGTGGTCAGGCCTGCCACCTTCAGGGCACGGCTGTTGGAGGGCCTGAGAAATGAAAGAGAAAGAAAAACAAAAAAGAAAGAGAGACAGAAAGATCATCATAAAAGAAAGAAATAAATTACAAAAATGGAAATGTATGCTGATAAAAAAAATATTATGCAGTTGGGAATTTATTTCTGTAAAACATTTACATTCTCAACTCCTTAGGTGACTTGAAGGGGATTTCCAAGGACAACAATAGAAACTGATTTTTATTATAAATACATACAACAATAAATATTACAACATAATTCATGGTAGTCATGATATTATTCCCTAAACTGAAAAAAAAAACATCATGTAAAAGTAAATATAAAAGATAATGTTTTACTGGTCCTGACTAGCCAATAGAGCGTTCAGTGTCACTTGTTGCTAGGTAGACGTCGTCTCACTATTTCACAAGTACCGTACTTCCTGGTTGGATTTTGCACTTTATTCAACGTGTGAGTATAAATTCTTACTTAAAAAAGAAACAAACAAATTCTTACTTTTTAAAAACAACCGTGTGAAGCGTATGGTTAGAAATAACGACAAAAAAAACAAACAGTTATTAAACTTAAATATCAAATTGCTTCAATCGCATAAGACCAAAAATTATAAATATATAATTACTATAAATAAATACAATAAAATTAATATTTTATATATTTTTATAAATTAAAATTTAAAAAAATTCAGTTTTTTCTTGTCAGCTTTGATTTTTTTTCTTTGTTTCATACTATATGGAAGAGTAAAGCGACGTCATTAGTTACCAGGTAGACCACTACCACTACTGCAAGGAGGCAAACTTAAATACAGCATAAATACCAAGATACTTTTAAATGCATAATAAAGATTATATTGTCAATATATCTCACCTGGGTCTCGGCTGAGGGATAAGGGGGTCCTGGCTGCCAATCGTATCCGCTACGCTCTGAGGATTATATACTGGAGTGTTCTCCATCACTGTCTGTCTATCTTCGCTTCTAAAAGACTGAATGAAACTGCGCAGATCGAATAATTAAATGCCCTCTGTAATAAGGAAGTGGAAGGAGCAACTGCAGGCAGGTTCTTTAGCTAGGTGAAGTGGGAAGTCCCTGTTTTAAAGGCACTGTGGGACGGCTAATTAGAGAGTGAATTCTGATTGGTCACAATTACGAAGCATCACTTGTTGATCGAGGCAGACTACAGTGAAAGGATTCACAGTCCGTATTAAACACTAATATTACTGTGATGACAATTTTATTTTAGGTTCAACGTTGAACGATAACTCTCTAATTTACAAGCGAATGCCTACGTTAAATATGAGTTTTTATTGTTTTACAATTAATAAGAAACAGACTATAAAGAGAAAAGTCATTGTGGAGATAAGAGCCTTGAAGGTGAATGCAGCAGACTGATGATGTTTTATGTAAATAATTAAAAAGTGATGCCGTTTTCTTTAAATGTTTTATGAATTATTTCATTACATGTATTTTTAATGTCGTGTTTTGGCATATTCTGTTGTTTTTGGCATAAATGCTACTATATTGGTCAATTTACATCTGCTTTTATTCATAGGGGTTTGATAAACTGAAGAGCTCAAGTTAAAAGGAAATACACTTTATTTTTAATGTAATGTCAATCAGTCTATGACCTAATATTAAAACGTTTTAAAAATGTATTACAACAATATCTAAGACTGCAGCTAATCCTGTTTTCTTTTTAAAATGTGTCATAATTTTATTCTATTTGACTAATGATTTAGGGAATAAAGAGCATGGGATTTTGTTAAAGGTTTTAAAAATGTCACTGTCCTCTATTTTTTTTTACCTGTTTTGTCAAAAACTATTTAGAAAAACATACTGAAAGACAACAGATAAAACCGAAATAAATCAATCAATAATCAGTCTGTCATATATTAACAATTACTGTATTGCAAACCTAGTAAAAGTTACACCAGTAGGATCATTTTAAATAGTTCTCCTGCTTCATGAAAAGTGAAAAGACTCCATTGTTTCCTCTCTGAGCTTTCTACCCGACGACAAAAAAAGAAAAAGAGAAACCACTGGAGTGAATCAAGACTAGGATTCTTCATAATGAGAATATAATTATTGCAAGATTTTAATTTATACACAAATACTACAGTGACATTATAGTATGTGTGGGTCTCTATAGTGAACTCACAAGGCATTCAGGGTTTAGTCCTGTTTTCAGCAGCCGAGACTGACTTTCTCAAATTCGAAACAGACCTTTTTTCAATACAATGTGTTGGATTATGTCATTATGTATGTTAAGTCTATTGCTAAAACGAAAAAACTAAACACAATTTTATTGAAGTCCAGTCTGGATGTAACAGTGTTTGACTTATGAGACAGATTTGTAGACTGTGATTTTTGATACCAAAAGTTATTACAAATGTCCCAAGATTTTGAGCTCAGTGACGGAAGTAGAACTGAGTCACATACCCTGGTATTTCCCTAAAGTCTTCACTATTCCCCAGAAATGGGTTGATGGTTCAAAAGCATAAGAGGAATTTCATTACATCTGTTTACGTACAATAAGAAAGGGGTTTTATTCGAGATCGTCCTCAGTAAGTTATCTGTGTTATTTCTCTCACAAACACCAATAACCTGTTCTGTGTGGGATCATGTGATGTCTTTCTACTGCCAAAATCTTTGGCTTCCGCACAGAGAGCCACAGTATGTACCGATAACAGACAGATTTTTACCTTTGACAGAAGACGAAATGAATGACGCAGCTCTCTATAAATGATCTACAACAGTTCTGTGAACTGTGAATTGACTGGAGTGGAAAAAGTACTGAAAAATACAGTGGTATTTTATTTGCAAATTAAAAAGCACCGACAATATTAGTTACACTGTAAAAATTATTGACAACAATTACAAATCTTTATCATACAGTCCAGGAGATTATTATTACCATCATTGCTGTTAAGTGTTATCACGTAATACTTTATATGGAGACACTCTGTACCTCTGTACAATAGTTGGCAGTGAGAGGAAAACAATCTTAGCGACACATCTCCACACGATGAAATTACCCAGACTCCCCTCAGTACAGCACTTACTCACACTATAGGAATGGGCTGATGTAGGGAGAGTGTAAACCCAAACACATTTAATAATTTAGGTCTACTGAGGGTGTACTGAGGGGATTATTTACATTACAAAGTCAGGAAATAAAGGACCCACGTGTGCAATGTTATCACATCCGAACATTGTACAAAACTATTGCAGTAAGAGCAGCTTTTCCTTATCTACGCTTGACATCTATTTGCAGTGGTAACACCTTGACGTATGAGCACGGTCATACACAGTGCCCTTCCTAATCCCCCCTCTCAAAAAAAAAAAAAAGCTATTAAAATGAAATAAAACAAAACCAAAAAAAATGTATAAAACAAAATATACAGTTTTTCCTCACACAGCCGACACTGAAAACAGATCCTGAAATGCAGAAACGTGTTCTGTACACTAATCGAATCTCCTGAACCAGAGTGATCTATTTAACATACAGTAGCTAGCTTATGATCTTCACAGATTATGACAGGAGCTGTGATTTTTTTTTCTTTCTTTTTTTTATTCCGTTCGTGTGCTTTCCAGTAACCTGTGTAGTCAGTATCGCTGTTGTAAAGAGTGCCTTAAATATTGTGCTTTCGATATCTATCCATCTCGTTCCTGCTCTGCTCAGTTCACCGGTCATGGAACGGAACAGAGAGGAGTTCGAACCGAACAGTTGAACTGACTGGACTGTACATCTGGCCTATTGGAGAGAACCAAACAGAGAAGTAAAGTTTTGGTACATTCTTCGATAATGCATCGCTGTCAGCATTGCAGAAATGAAACCAGAGGAAAAGAAAAACAAACATAAAACCTCTATAAAAAAACTCTTAAAAGTCCATGTGGTAATAGTTTATTAAAGACTCTGTCCTGGCACTTGTAAATGGGATTACTAGATTCTACCAAGGCCTATCAAAGAAAAGGCTGCAGCACGCAGCCCGAGTCGAGACGCTCCATCTCACGTTCTTCTTTCTTTAAAAATATAATTCAAAGGCATTTGCTACCAACGTCTCTCTTGTGAATCCACTCTTACTCTAACCAGCTCCAAGTCAAAGGTGGAAAAACACACATCCCTTGTCCGCTTTTATCCAGAGCTTTTTCTTTTTTCCTTTCTTTGATATTCAGGAAGAAGTTCATGCAAAGAAAAAGAAAGTAGGTTATGAAGAACAGGGAAAGTGATCATCAAATACTGAAGTTCCCTCCTTTGAACCACTGAGCCTTGAGGACACGGTGGAGGCCACGGTTACAGCCAACGGCATCTGGAAGCTCACAGCAGAGAGTTTCAGGTGGTGGGAGCCGCTCAGCTCTTCTCTTCATCTCTCTATTCACTGTTCATCCTGCCCTTCTTGGAAGATCGTAGTAAAGTGTGAAGTTCTGACTAGTCACTTCGTCCTCAAAACGTAGGTTTATGAGGACTGTTAGGAATCTTCACTGTGGTACGATGCCCGGCCTGAAAGGTTTTCCTCCTCTCGGGGAGAAGCTGTGGTTCATTGTGTAACGGTGTGTAAGTTCTGCTGCTACCTGGTGTGGACCAGGTCTTCTCTGAGCCAGCTGGGCAGCGGCTGACCCATCCTGTAGAGCAGCTTCGACAGCTCAATGTTGTGATCCCTGTAGTATTCCCTGAGGAACCCCTGGGACTGAAGGAGGAAGAGAGAGTGGGATGAAATTGAAACCAAAAACAATTTTTATCAAAAAAACAAACAAACAACAATATTAGTTAAATGTCAAGAGACAAAATGTATCTTTTCAATAAAGTCTTGTACAGTATATGCTCATACCTCTGCGTCCATGTCAGGGTACCTTCGACCTTTACTTTTTCCCAAACACTTTGTTTTTCCTCCCTCCAACAGCTGACACCAGAAACCTTTCTTAGGATCAAATCTGAGATTCAAAGATAAAAAATGGTTGATTTAAATGCATCAGCAGCATTAATGGAAAAATGTAGCTTTGCAACATAAGAAGATAAAAAAAACCCAGAAATGTATAAACTCATCTGTAAAGATACTTACGCTAGAATCTTGTGGTAGTTGATGACATTGGCAAGCGTTAAAAACTTCTGGATTTTGTCCATGACTGATGCAGGCTCAGTCTTCAGCATCTGTCCATCCAGGACCAACAACTACAGGAGACACAATCATGATTAGAGCTCAGGGCAGATACAGTAGTAATGGAGGTCAAACTGGACCAAACTCTGAAGCCCACTTTGACTAATCAACTTTCAAGTATTCTTGGCTTTATGCATTTTCATTTTATTTTTTAATGCCCTAAAAACTTTTTTGCATTTTATACCCCAGTAAAAAAAAAAAACCTTAAAAAACAGAAGCTGTGGGCTTCATTTTTCATTTTTTGTGCTGATACAGCTTGGATTCAAACCAGGCATCCTCCAATTACAAGCCTGACGTTTTAACCACTGCACCAGTCATTCAAACACTAAGCAATTTGAATAACACTTGTTTTAATGACAGACTATACCTGGCTTGAGTGGTAGTAGTTGAGCCAGCGCTCCAGGTGAATGGCGTACCATCCTGGTACCAGACAGCGGTTTTGGAGAACCCTTAATTTGACGGGAGCGTCGGGGCCTGCAGTGATGACGTCATGAAAGGAGTATTTCAGAGCCACCGGATCATCGTGGGCTCTTTGGTGCTGCAGACAGACAGGAAGTGGTTTCAGCACTAAATACCACACACTTCACATCATTGTATATATTTTTTAAAGAGTCGCCTGTGACGGACCTGGTACCAGGAGTAGGCTCTGTCTGCTGGGTTGATGAGGATGGTGATGATCTTGGCTTTGGGCAGAAGAGCTGCCGCTCGCTGAGCCGCCACATCAGAGTCAAAGTAGTTGGCACTCTTCTCAAAGTAGTAATCTGAGCTGGTGTTGGAGGGCAGAGGGAAGTACTCCATATACCTGACAGAGCAACAAAAAACAAACACTTCAGGACGTGTAGTGACATGACGGCACAGTTCATTGGGTCTCATTTATGTCTCTGAGCATGAGGAAAATTAATCTGTGTGGGATAGTGGCCGTGGACGGCAGTTTGGCACCCCCGCCCACTCACTGAAAACATCCAGGCAGCCAAGAAGTCTTCAGGTACTGTAGTGAGTACAGTAGAGTACCCCGTGCCAACAAAACTGTTTTCAATTTAATTAAACTGGAAATAACTCATAGGGTATACATCTATAAAATTAAATTTTATTTATATAACCGGCTACAACAGCCCCAAGGTGAACAAAGAGTTTCTCAGTGAATCAGTGTTTCTCCTGTGGTGGTCTCACACACTGCTGTGATATATTTCTGAATGTGTTCCTAAGTCACTGTGGTCGACTGCTGCTCCAAATCATTTCCCTCCCATCAGTATTTCACTGTGTTGCCTCAGTGGTGGCTCACCAGTCAATGCCTCTGTGGTAGTTGTGTCCATTGAAGAACTGGATCTCCTCAAAGGTCTCCTTGCTGGGGTAGTTACTGGTCAGATCCGGGTGCATGCCGAGGAACAGGTAGAGAGCCGTCGTCCCTGAGAGCAAAATAAAAAAGACCACATATTTAGAGAGTGTTCTTTAATCAATAACTGCGTTTGTCTTCATACCAAATTATACTCCTTTCCCAACACGCAGCATTTCCTTGACTTTATATTGTAACTGCTGACTGAGATTTCCAAATGAACACAAACTCAATCGAATCACAAAACGACACCACACCTGACGTTCGATTAAATCAGATCTGTTTTATTTCCCGAGTCTAACCTGCAGGGGGTGCTGCTGTACCGTGTCTCACCTGTCTTTTGAGGCCCGATGACGAGCAGCTTGGGGAAGCGATCACATGTTTTCTCTTTAGACCAGATGTCCTTGTGTCTTTTGTCCTCACATGGATCCTGTAGCCACACAAAGATAAACAGGTCTTTGTTTTTATGGGCGGTTAGACTTCGCAGACATCAAAACATTTAAAACATTTAGAAACACACAAGTGGAGTTGGTTAACCTCAGATTGTTCAAAGACTTCGAAAAGCACAAAAATAAAATGTTGGAAAACAAACATGTTTGTATGGGTAACAACTGCTACCTAGGTCTCTGGGGACAAAGACACATTTTATTTTTTAATTACTAAGGCCAATCCCACACTGTGACAGGTTGCAATAAGCACAATATGTGTGCAAACAACGTAAGGTGCGCTTAAAGCAACTCACACGTATGTAAATTTACACAGGCTTAAGTAAACTTCACTAAACCCTAAAACAAAGACTTCATCACCAAGCAAATGGAGATAAAAGGGTGTTAATGAAATGATATTATCTCTAATCATCCTCTTCTAATCACCTGCCAGAGGGGGTCTCTCTCTGATGGGAACAGGCTGAAGTACTTCTGAGCCAGCTGAACAGGAGGCAGAGTCTGCATCTTTAAATTGGTCCACGTCTGGACGAACTTCACCAGGCTTTTGAAGGTGTACAGGCCGAGGCGATCGTTGCCATAGTTGGAGAGGTGGGTCATGAAAATACTAATCTGTGGATTAAAAAAAAAAAAGTTTAATTAAAGTGGACGAAGTGTAACATGGGATTTGGAGCTTTTTTAGATGAACGATGACAGTGAAACAAATGTGGTGAATTCTTTTGTCCCTGCTCCTGAGCACTTAGCTCACAGATGGCTGTTAAAAATTAAGACCCCAACACAGCATGCAATATTAAAAAAAAAAAAAAACTCAAAATGACCACCCAAGGAGCGGGTGCTGCTACCATCTACGTTAACTGACGTGCCAATAAAAATGCTAATCACAACAACATCTTGCTTCACAGTCGATGATTCAGGTAATGACGTGTGTCGCCGTCTACGATTTAATAGTTGACAGCACCGGGTTTTCAACACGCACTACAATTGATGCAACTGAAAGGGCAATGTTTATTAAATTTATGTCTCACGGTTTGATTTATGGTGATAATGGTTGCACACACAAAAAAAAACATTATCTAAACTTTGGTTTCAACTGATTTCTTCCCTGTTGACTAGAATTGGCCAAGGTTAGTTTCCTATGTTGTCATTTTGTGGCTTCAGACAGTTAATCTTTCACATGAGCACAAGGAACATGTAGCTACAGTAGTTGAGTCAAAAAAGGTTTTCATAATAGTAATAGTCATAATAGTCAGTCTACAGAGTTCTGCTGAATGTAGATAATTTAAATGTCATAGTTTTCACTTCAGAGAATACGACATGTTTTAATTAGTCAGAAAGTACACTCCGCTCATCCGTCTAATTCTTACATTCATCTGCAGATGACGTTGAAGTGATATTAACTGCAGGAGTGTTTTTTCTTTTCTTTTTTAAACTGTCTGACAAAAGAAGAAGAAGAAGGTTCCCACTCATTCAAACTCTCAGACAAAGGACCAAATGATTGAACCGTTACTCACAGGGTTCAACAGAACAGTGAGGAAAAGTTCTCCTCCATTGATGAGCTTGTCCAGTTCGTTGGGACTGCCGGGGTAGTCCTTATAGAAGATGGTGTGTGTGAAAAGGCCACATGTCTGTCTGGGCAGCACCTGTGATACAAACAACAATGTGTGAATGCAGTGAAGAAAGTCGCCAAGCCATATAAGAAGCAGGGAGAAATGGGAGAGTAATGCAGTCACAAACAAACACCGGCAGCATCCGTCCTCCGCTGTGAGAAGAGCCGAGCTGTCACCACTCCAGGCACTTTTCCCCGCACATTGTTTACTTTCGATAACATTCATATTATGCAGCTCATCTAGCCAAAGCAAACCTCCTATTCACAGAGTCTATATGAAAATTCATGAAAATGCTTTTGCAGTTTAAAGTGTCTGGGGAACTGAATATCATTCATCAGTAAGCAGCAGAGACCGTCCGTTCTGAGTGCACTATCTCAAGGACGAGAATAGAGCAGGGAGACCACACAGGCTGCCTGAATGCCAACGCTACAAAGAAACTGGACTGAGGCTGCACTCTTTCCTATCACTGCTGAAGGTCAACCTGGAAGAAAAAGAGCTAAGATTTTTTTTTTCATCTTTCTTTAGAACCTTTTAAATATAATCTATTCAGCTTCGCCCCCTCCCCCCCCCCCCGCCCACCCCTCCCCTCAGAAATGCGTTAATAGGCACCAGCTAGCAGCCAAATGAAGTGCTTTTTCCTGACATTTCAGTGGGTTGTTATGTGCACTCACACACTTCATATACTGTTGCCACAGATGTCACTCTCTGTTAAGGTGAAGAGACCTGCTGGCCAACACCACTTAGACAGGTGTCTCATGCAAGACTGCTTCCCTGGACTACATTACAGGCCGAGAGGAAATGTCAAGGAAAAGCAACAGGCCAGAGGTAACAGGATAATAAGGACAGGCTCGGTGCAAGTTTGCTGCATAATCAGTGCTCTTACACTAATGCCACTGTGGATGAAGCCACGTCGGAAGCGTGCAGGCTTCAGGTGAGGGTACTCCTCCGTGCTGGTCACTTTGATGCCCCAGACTTTTTTCCAGGCGTCGTACAACTGCATGTGGACAGGGTAGACCCCCGAGTGATGAGGAGCCACTGCGTAGCCCATGTTGGTGGGGATTCCGTGCTCCTGTAGGGTGAAAGGTCATGAATGAGTCAGTGCTGAGGATCTTTGGGTTCAGATTCCTCTATTGTAGTGTTTTTATTCTCCCGATAGAAATTTACACAAGTGTTATCAGGCCCCACACTTCATCGCCCTCATGGATAGTATATGTCAATATCAACGATGTCTGCAGGTTGGAGGTATTTTGACACCAGCGATCGAGACAAGAGGAAAGACTTAGTGCAAGATTTGTTCTGCTATGACTCCAGTAATTTAATAAAACACCTGCAGACGCGCCATAACGCTGAATACATGAATGCATCTTCTCAGTTTAACAGCTTAGCGGATAAAGTTTACATTTCAAAGTCTTTTTTTTTGTTAAGACTCATTAAACTAACGTGTGTGTTCCTTAATTACGTGAAACATGGAAATAATGCTAAACCGTTTTAGTGACACTGAAGTCACAAACACAAAAGCTCTGCTCACTTTCTGTTCAGTTGGTTGTGTTAAATATACAGAAGGTTTATTTTGTCTTCCTTTTTTAAAATCTTATTATATTCTAAGTTTTAATGATATGATGTCTGATGTCTGATGTGAAGCCACTGTGAGTTTTGTTTATTACAGAAAGATTTGTTTCCCTTTGGTTTAAGGTAACATTCTTTTAATGAGATGAAAATAAAACTAGCTGCGAGTATTTGTATGTACTGTAGTATGTCCTGTGTAGTGGCTACACTAAAGGTATAGGTGAGTACAACACATGAAACACATGAAAGTGGTTAACAAAATATTATCAGAACAACCATAGCTTTAATGGGCTGCCACGGTGAAGACAAGGCTGAGGTCAATACTCACTATTTCCTCCACTGAATGTTTTATTGTTAAAAATTGACAGTTCAAAATATAAGAAACGTTTGTCGTATTTCCTCCACTGAATGTTTTATTGTTGAAAAACGTTTGTCTTTTGCAAATGAACGTGTGAATATTCACAATGATTTGTGGCAAAGGCAGCTTTTTTAAAACTTCAGACAATGCGCTCTATTTTTATTTGTGTTGAGGAAGAGGTGAAAAAGTAAAAATGCTCCTGAACTTTAGCAGAAGCGGTGGCGTATCCCTGACACAAAGATTCCATCTGGATTATTCCAACTATCCTTCAAAAATGAGATCTCGTCTTTATTTTAAAACTTCTGTGGCCACCTCCTGACTTTCATACAATTTTGGTCAAGTTGCTCCTTAGTGAGATTCATTTCCTATTCAAAAACTGGAATTATTTAAAGTTATTTTTCTTTGACTCTCTTGACATCCTAACATAAAAACTTTAAATAATAGCTTTTTTTCCCTAGAGGATTTCATGCCTGTTGAAAATTCCCAGGTACACCCACTAATTCTAGGATGAAGGAGGAATGTGTCAGATTAAGTCAGGCATGTTCAAATTTGGCCTTGGGTCCAATTGTGGTCCTTGGACAGGTTTAATGCGGTACTTGATCTGAAGATGTTTTATTTACGACCTGTCAGGATGATCAAACAGGACTAATGAATCATACAAGCCCAAGGTAGGGTACACCGGCTTTCCTGAAGTTAGCGGCACTCATTGCATTACTCCTCATTTCCTGGTTTTAAAATTTCTTTTGAAAGAAAATAAAATAGTCTGTGGCCTGATTGGTGAGGTTGTGGATGTGAAGTATCAATATTCGTCCCTGTGTTTTCTGACAATTTAATTAAGATGCCAAATGAACAAAGGCAATTGTTATGCACAGAATAACTGGAGTTATAATAGGCTCAGGTATTTTGGGGGGGGAGCAGATGGCCCTTGGGTTTTTAATAGCATTAAATCTGCCCTCATTCACCCTACAGCCCCCTGAAGCTACTCAACAGAGGAAGTAGCACCACCTAGTGGTGAAGCTAGATGTTGTGGTTAAACATTCACACTATTCCTGCCTGAACATTCTAGAGAACAAAGGACATTCAGTTATCAAAGAAGCACAAGGAGAGTTTACTTTGTCTGCTGTAAAAACACAACCCAACATGGCTGCCGCTGTAGAAAGACTCACTCCTGGTGCACATGAAGGGATCAGTGTGGGTTAGGTACCCAACTAGAACAGAATAGAACGACTTGATGTGATCTTTGTGCAAATAAACCAATACTTTTACGTAAAAAAAAATTGTGTGGTGAAAATATAGGAATGGATTTTCACCTAAATCTTATAGAGCACCTTTGAATCTCAACACATAATCAATATTGGATTCTTTGAGAAATCGTCAACATCATGTCAACCTGAGCAGTAAGGAATCACTATAAAATGTTGAAATCATTAACTACACAACCAAAGACCCTGGAACAGCTCCACTTGATTCTGCACTTTGCTCAAAATTGATTTTCTGACCAAACTGAAAAGCACCCCAAGCTGTGCTTTAACCCCTACTGACCCCTCCCCCCCATGACTCACCATGGCAAACTTTTTGTTGAGCAACATCTGCTCGGCCAGCACGGACTGGTTGTGGAATAGATGCGGCTGCATGTGGCTCCACATGTGAGGAAACCACCAAAACTCCTTCACGTAGGAGAGCAGCAGGTCGTCTCCGAGGTCCTCCTCATCAGATCCTGGAAATGTCAGAGGAGAGTGGAAGACAAAGGAGGGGAGTAGACGGAGGTGAGTGAGTGAAGTGCAAATGGAGCAGATGAAATGGACATTTTTAAAGTGTGAAATAGAGTCAGCAGCACAAAAAGGATGTAGCAAAAGTCAAAGTAAAGATTAGAGTAAGAAATGAAAAGAAGGAGCAGCAGGGAAGATGTGAAGAAAAGAAAGAAAGAGATGAAATATTGGGGGAGGAAAAAAAACTTGAATCTCAGTGGTGCTATCTCTCTGGGTTTACTGCGTGTTCTTATCTCTGCTTGAGTCAGCAGCAGAGGTTCTCTGCGGGCGGTGCATCTTACCAGCGTGAAAGAATTTCCCTGAGAAGCCCAGATTGAAGGTGAAGTTGGGCACATGTGTGCGCAGCTCCCTCTGTGTCTCCAGCAGGGCCTGAAAACAGTGGGAACAAAGGAGAGCGTCCGGGTGTGACTACCTCATTCTGGAGCATGAATAAGGACAGGTGAACACAGGAGGGACACGTATGCCCATAAAGGCGTCTCATCCTCACAGATTCTTTAGGTTATCATCACACACCCACTCCTAGCTCTTCACTCGTCTTCTACATGCTGTTTGATATTTCACCAGCTTCTGATCCGGCTGTTTGTTTCGTTTGATCTCCACCCTATTTGACGTTGACGGCACAAACAGAACTCACCCTCGCTCCCTCTCTGAGGTTTTTGTCTTGAGAGAATATGATTTCTTCCTAAAAGCTCTCAGTGGTGCTTTGAGTCAGAAGGCCTTGACGCTCCTTCACAAAACTTTTTCTAACCCCCTCTGTATTTATATGTGATGTGGGCTCTGTTTCGCTCTGAAGGGACACAAGCAAGCAGCTTCTCAACAATTTATCTATATGTCTCAGCCCCTGAAATATTCATTGCTCTGGATCTTCTGACAGTGTGAGCAGTCGGGCCTGTCAGCTTTGAGCGGCCTGCTGGGACAAATGCATTTAACAAAAAACGAGAGAGGAGAGGAGCAAAGAGAAGAATTTTCTTTTATGACTGGCAGAGACATCTCGTGCAATGTGCAAGGCAGTTTTACATTTCTGCTAATGGCTGTTGAAAACAGTCATTGAGAAAAGCAAAGTGCAGTCAGCTATATTTGAATTAGATATCAATTCAGGCTCATACCGATACGTCGTGGGTTTGTGCCATAAGAGCACCTGTTACATTGTTGTTGCTGTTTTTTTAAGTAGGATTATATATATATATATATTTAACTTAAACCAAAGGATCATATAAAAGTAATCCCTGCACTTTTTTACCAGTCTGTGCTGCTGTTATCATCAGCAGAGATGCTGCTCTCTCCCTGGATTTGTATTTAACATTTCTTTCAAACATTCTGAGCCTTTTTTGTATAAAAATGTTTGTTAGTGAGAAATAAATTCAGTAATGCAATTGAAAGGATTCAGGGCCGTCATTATACTCGCAATAAAGGAAGAAAGACGGGGGAAAGTGAGCGGAATCATCTCAGTTTAACCGAGCCTCCAAGGACAGCCAGTACTAATTCTTCAGATGAAACTTTTTGTGTCACGTAATACAATTTTAATATAATCTAATGTGTAAATTTTGCTTTTTATAAATATTGTATAAGTTTAGTCTGACAGAGTTGGAGTTGTACAGCTGAACAGAGCAGCATGCAACTCCTGTGGTAAGTGGTTCAACAATCTTAGTGGATTCTTCTTACTTTAAATATAATACTGTTGAACCAATTCACTGAACTTGTTCACTAGTCAATCACAGCTGCATTCATAGCATCCCCCGCAAGAGAGAGAAGGGCTTTGTGTTTGTAAATAGAAAGTAAAAAAGGTCACATACTTTGCTTTAACTCTACCACGTGACATCTTTCTCTTGACTTTCATCAGGGCTACAGTGGTGGTAGGTGGTACGCAGTACTGCCACCATTAGGCACCCGGGTCGATACCACCTAGTGCCTGGGCATCTGTTGTAAAAACTCTGCCAAAGCGATGTGTGGACTAGTCCTCTGGTGATCCACATGAGCCGACAAGCTTAAAGTGATTCCTTTATCCTGACTTAAATAGAAGCCTCAAAAAGGATATTTTCCTCTGTAGACGATGGCCTAGGGTTTTATAAGTAATAAAAACCTAGACAGACAGAAGACAGAGGCACAGTCTCCTGTCTTTATGGAACTATACAATCTATCCAGTCTCACTTCTGTCCAGTAAACCCTTGTGAGGATGCGCATGAACTGGAGGCTTAAAAAGAAAAATTTGTTGGCACTGAAAAGAGAGACCAAACTGTGTGCTGTGATCCAGTGAGGAAGATAACAACCATAATGCTGAATCATTGATGTTTCAGCGATTCACATTGTATTTTTCCACTTCCTCCGAAACTCACCTTTACATCAGGCACCTTCATGCGCGTGCCCTCTTTACCCACAAAGATGTCGTCGATATCCACCAACATGTAGCGCTCCAAGGACAGGGAAAGCCTCTTTCCAGTCAGGAAGGCCACAGCATCCACAAACACCAGTTTGTGCAGCCAAAACACCAGGTTGTTACCAAACAGAACCCTCTGGATGCCATCATGGAGGCCCAAGTCCTGCACCACGGACGGGAGAAGGGCAGCGTTCTGTCCCATCGACGCAACATTCTCAGCTGATTGGGTCTTGGCCAGCAACACAGGCTCATATGTAGAATGGTTGGACTGGAACACGGTCCAGTCTTCCCCGGGCAGGGGGCCGGGCAGTGGTTGACCAGATCGTGTGATGAAAAGCAGAGGGGACTTAGGGTTGACCATGCAGTCCTTCAGGCCCAAGTTAGAATGGAGGAAGAGGGGGAAGCCTTTCAGCTGTGCACTCAGCAGACTGTTTTCATTGGCCTGATGAAGAGAGAGAAGGAGACAGAGACAGAGAAATCACACAGATTCATCATACGCTGGAGTGATGAAGACAGAAATGTAGTGGGAATAATTCTCCAATTTCTCCCATCATGTGTGAAATGAGGAATGTCAAGCTTTCACAGTTGTGAAGGCATGAGACAGCTTCTACCTGCTACGCTCAATCTACCGTGCTTCAAGACTGAAGTCGACTGAATAACCTCCTACTGGGCTGTGTCCTCTAAATTTCAAAGGTCGAGCTTTTGTTAGTCATCCACAGAAATTGCATGCTGACAGCATTTCACCTTCTGTACACATAAATATTAGGTCTGTCAAACCAGTAACATTTCTGAAGCGATAAAATACAGAGTTTTAATGATGATTAATCAGTCCAGAGACAGCTGTTCAGCCTGATTACTTACTGCCCTGCACTCAGTGAAGAAAGTCTAAAACAAGGCGGGTATGTGTATGTGGATATATGTATACATATATTTATTTATTCATGTCATTTCATTTATTTATTTTTTTCAGTCGGCTCAGAGAGCTTACCAATGCACAAAGGAGCCAGAGTTAAAACAATTGGATTTGAGATTCTAGTAGAAGGTCTGAAACATTTATCCCACGACCTACTTTTGGAACAACACCCAACTTTGAATAAACACTGTTCTACAAATGTATTCTGGCAAAATCATGTGACAATTTAAAGAAACGTCTTCACAAGCAGCAGAGTTTAAAACTATGGTCGATTTTGAAGAAGTAACTTTTTAAAATGAACTTAATAATTAAAACAGCTATCAAAAATTCAGAACATGTTTTTTTTTTGCATGAAGGTGAAATGTACTGCAGGGCTATTTTAGACTGGAATCAGTTCATTCACGTGTACCCAATAAAAAGAACCGTGTCAGTCTTGCCCTATGGCAAAGACATTCGCTCAGACAGCCGAGTCCTGTTGTGTGCACAGGTTATTGTAATTCACACCCTTGCCCCACTTCTTCGTCTCCCAATAGATAAAAAAATCCCAGCAGGCTTTCCTGACCTTCACCTACAATGCCTAACATCTCAACACCACCCTCTTTGCTTCCATAACCCTTTCTATATTCTTTCCATGGCTCAGAGACGGCGATTAGAAATATAAGACCTGAAAACTGGCCTTGGGCAACCAGACTA